GATCAATAAAGTGAATCAATATAAAATCAACTGAAAAAGAGATGTTTTGATGTATTGTTGCAAAAATGTATATAACTATTGGGTTGATGGAAAAGTCCTTTCCGATTTTTTGGGAGAGTACCTTAAATTAGTCTAATTTTGACGTTTTATAGCTCATCCTAAAGCTGAATTCAAGACGGATCGATTGGTAAAAACCGTTTTGAGATATCTCTTTTCCAAAAGTTTTTACAGCTATTTTAGTAAAGGGCGGGAGAGCCAAAAAATGGCAATAAAACCAACTGTTTATAAGTTGACTTGTAAGTCGAATTTATAAGTAAAGCTTAGGCTCTAGGCAAATAAAGCTATGGATTAGATAAGATTCTTTCAAAACAAAAGGAGGTATTCAAAAAAAGGTATTGCTTTGGGAAAATGGCTTTGAAATGAATCTTTTAATGAAATCTGAATGACAGATAAAGCTGTTGGTAAATGAATGAATGAAAAAAATGAAATGAATCAAATAACTAAACCGAATTGTGGATGAATGAAAGGTGGATGGATGAGGGGAACGACTTGAAGTGTGTTCTCAACTCGACATCATCTCGACATGGATCTCGAATTGAAGAGGAGAGACACTCAATCTTCGAGGGAAAGTTCAAGAGGGATTTGATGGGAAAAAAGAAAGATTAAAGTAAAACAATCATATTTAATTGGCATAGTCAATGTTTGAGTCTCTTTAGTGAAACAAGAGACTATTCTAGATGAGATTGGGAAAAATTGACTTTGACTTTGTTTCAGCAAATCACCTTTGACTTTTTCAATGACTTATGACCTGGCCTAAAGCTCTAAGCCTTTCGAAAGAAAAGTTTTAATTCTAACTGCTTCAAAGTAAGCGTTAGGCAGTTAAGAAGGCTAAGAAGGCTTTCGTTTGAGATAGAATTGATGATAGACTTTCTAATGGTAGATGATGGACTTTCTAATGATAGATGATAGACTTTCTAATGATAGATAATAGACTTTCATGTATGTATGTTTCGGAAAACATTAATAGACTGAAACATGTATTTTTCATAGTAACTGCTAGACATAGGAAAATTCCAATCCGAACCTAATTCCACCTTCATTTTCTTGGCTGATTCTTGGCTGAAATTTTGTCTACAAATAGAAATCGACATTACCAGCGAATTCAAAACAACAAACACACACACACACACGCTCAGGCTCAACAACTGCCCACAATTAGTGATTGATTTTTCCATAAAAAGGTAATGTTGAAAGTTTTGAAACTTTTTTTCTGAGAGTGAGCAACTTGAGCTCCAAATAGTTGATTGATTGATTGATTGAAGAATTGGTTGAATGATTGATTTTTTTCACGAAAGGTAATGTTGAAAGTTTTGAAACTTTATTTTCGAGAGTGAGCAACTTCAGCTCCGAATAAGTGAATTTAGCGAATCCAAATAAAAAGTAATGCAAAAGAATAAACTAAGAAAAGTTATAATAGTAAGTAGAGTTCTAAAACCTAAAAGTAGAGTTCTAAAAGCTAAAAGTAGAGTTCTAAAACCTAAAAGTAGATTTCTAAAACCTAAAAGTAGAGTTCTAAAAGCTAAAACTAGAGTTCTAAAATCTAAAAGTAGAGTTCTAAATTCTTTCTATCAAGTTCCAAGAGAAATCCGCAAAAAGCCAAATCTCAACTTTTGATTCAACCGATGAGAGATGCGACACGATGTTGGATATTCTTTTGCCTTTTGGAGAAACTCTCGATCTCCAATCTCGAATCTCTCAAGATTGGCATCGAGCTCCGCACTCAACCCCTTCAAACACACACACACACACACACACACACTCAAACTCAAGTGTGTTCGGGCAACCCCTTACTCACTTTGTTTCCTTTTGATCGATGCCGGGTGTTGGATTGAAAGTCGCCGGTGTCGATGTTGTTGCCGATGAGCCGGCGAGAGTTTGAACGTTGAACATATTAGATCGTTGGGGGGATTGTAGCGTCGAGATTGGTCTCTAGTGGATTGAGCCTCTCGAGACGAGTGCCCACCTGAGGGCCTGCAATTTTGGGGTGGGCTAGGGGTGGCCAGCGCTGGCCACAGGTTCTCCCTAAACTCCGCCCATTGGGCTATCGTATCCCGGTCCCCAATTCCCAATCGTTGTGCAAAAAGCGGAGAGGAGTGGTCAATTGGGCTGGGGAAATACTTTCTGAAAGTTAACTTTTAGTTTAACTATCACTTGACTAGAGTGCTAAAGATCTAAGATCAAGTAAAAACTATGTAGAGGTATGTAAGTTATGTAAACTATTAAATTTAGAGATTTCTAGTTTTCGTCTGCTAAATAGAGAGCTTTATCTAATCAAGTTCTTTTAATTTTATAGCATTAACTTGCAGAAACTGCTGAATTAATTAAAAGAAAATTCTTTAAACAAAAAAAATGGATGTTTCAAAGTTGGACGAATTAAGCGCCATTCGTCTGGCGCTAATGGAGCAGGTCAATTTTTTTTAAACGAAATCGAAAGGCAATTTCTATTTCTATTTCTATCAAAAGCCGATTTCACTGTCAAACTCAAACAGTTGTTAGCTTCAAATGATATTTTTGATCAACTATACTATAAAACTATAAAACAACTACAACTATAAAAGGCTATATAAAAGTTAACCACCAGAACTATTCTTGATAACTTTTTTCTGAGGAAACTTTGTTATCTTTATTGTAACTTTGATATAACCATTTGAGTTAAAAGCATTGGTTTTTTTTCACTTCTAGATAACGATTTTCTCGATATATCCACTTGTCGACTGTACAGGATTGTTCAGGATTATGGGGACTTTAGGTATCTTTGATATTGCATATTTTTGCTTACAATTTATATACCGTATTTTCTCTAATAGTAGTGCACCTAGATCGTCGTCTAAATTTGTCTAAATTACTCGAAATCTCGAGAACCGCTTATCAGAACCTATCGATGTGGGATCGGAAAATGTAGCTGACGATGAGATCTTGTGGGGGATTTGAGTGTTGAGCTTCTGCGAAAGCTTGGAAACCATAAAATAGTCACCAACTCGGTTCGGCGTGGTGCACTACTATTAGAGAAAATACGGTATATGAAGAAAAATCTTAGCTTTCAGCGTATAGATACTTTATTCAGGACCTGAAAGCGATTATTATTCTTTATATATGTTGTGTCCGATTTAGATTTCCGTCCGATTTAGATTGAACTTATCGCGGACGTCCGATTTAGATTACAGTCTATATCGGACGTCCGATTTAGATTCAATCTAAATCTTATATGGATTGAACAATAATATAAACATGCTTAATATATGTTCTTAAGCGTTTTCTGTAGTTTTCTGCATTTTTCAAAGGTCTTTTATTGATTACAGTCGATATCGGACGTCCGATACAGACCGAACAATAATAAACGTGCTTCACATATGTTCTTTGAAAATTTCTTTGAAAAGCGCAGAAAATTGCAAAAAAACGCTTAAGAACATATATTAAGCACGTTTATTATTGTTCGATCTGTATCGGACGTCCGATATAGACTGTAATCTAAATCGGACGTCCGCGATAAGTTCAATCTAAATCGGACGTCCGATTTAGATTGAATCTAAATCGGACGGAAATCTAAATCGGACACAACATATATACCGTATTCGCTCTAATAGTAGTGCACCCGGGCGAGCCGAGTTGGTGACTATTTTACGGTTTCCAAGCTTTCTCAGAAGCTCAACACTCTAATCCCCCACAAGATCTCATCGTCAGCTAGTGCACCCTGAGCGTCGCCTAAATTGCTCGAAATCTCGAGAACCGCTTATCAGAACCTTTTCATGCTTTATCTACATAAAAATCTTTTGACTTTCGGCCACATCTTCAGTTTTAAAAGTTTTGTTTCCAAATTTTCAGAGTCATTGTAGAAACTACTCTAACAATTGATTGAAAAATCGTTTTTTTTCCACCTAATTCCTTTTTCAGTTTTCCTTGTTAAGCTCGTTTTCGAATTTGAAAACAGATGCAAAATTTTGAAACGCAAAAAGCCGATTCGTGCCTTGCAAAATCTTTCTTTGCTTTGTGAAAATTTTCTCAGCTTTTCAGCTTTTTCGGATGAAAGAAAAATCGTATTTTTCCTTTTTTCCGCACGGAAATATGACTGTGTATTTGGGGCCCGAGGATTCATTGTGAATTTTTGTGTACTGAATGAATGGGAATGGATTGGTGGATCTAATTTCAGTGTATTTCATATTTCAATGTCTTTCGCCCAATGCCCCAGCAATTCCCCGTTTTTCAATACAATAACAAACACAAACAAATATGAGATTCTAGGAAATTTTCCTTTGAAATGAAAGAAATGAACTTTTGATGGAATTCGAGAGAAAGAGAGCAAATTCAGCAAAATTTTCTCAAGTTTTAAGCAACTAAAAAAAGCAACAAAATCCAGTTTTTCAAATCGGTTAATCGGTCAAAATATGTCAATATCTGCATTTATTTTGGCTTCAAATGTCCAACAAGTTCTAAGAAAAAGACAAAAAGAAGAGAGAAAGGTCGGCTGGTAACAGAATACCGAGTAAGCAAATAAATTAGAATTTGAAGTAGAGAGTCACTTCTCTCTAAGTATTTCCTCTTTTCTCCTCTTTCTCCCCTCTTTCCCCTTTCCCCCCCTCTTTTCTCCTCCCCTTTTGCTTTCATTTACACAACCGATTATTGGGGGTAAACGATTACGCAATGAGTCACTCAAATAAATCATTTATGAGGATCAGGTTACGGTACGACGCTAGGTGTAGAAAGTTTAAGATTTACATTAAATAGTTAGTTTTCTAAAAGACATTAGAAAGTATTGTACTCAAATTGTGATTAGAATTTGCAAAAGCGTCACATCACTGCACAAAACTAAAAAGACAAAAAAGAAAAACAAAATTGGGCTGAAATTTTGTAATTAGGGGCTTTCGAGGATGAGGAATTCGAACTGTTATTTATTTTTAAAGAAAGCGGCTATTTTTGGATATTTCATTCGGTTTAATTACTCAAATTTTTAGAGTTTTGTGATGATTGGCTTGAGATTGCTGTTTTTGTTGTTGCCGTTGTTGTTGCCGTTGTTGTCGCTGCTGTTGTCGCTGCTGTTGTTGCCGCTGCTGTCGCTGCTGTTGTCGCTGCTGTTGTTGCTGTTGTTGTCGCTGCTGTTGTCGCTGCTGTTGTCGCCGCTGTTGTCCTGCTGTTGTTGCTGTTGCCGTTGCCGCTTGTCGCTGTTGCCGCTGTTGCTGCTGCTGTTGTTGCTGCTGTTGTTGCTGTTGTCGCCGCTGTTGTTGTTGCCGCTGTTGTTGCTGTTGTTGCTGCTGTTGTTGCCGCTGTTGTTGCTGCTGTTGCTGCTGTTGTTGCTGCTGTTGTTGCTGCTGTTGTTGCTGTTGTTGTTGCTGTTGTTGCTTGTTGCTGTTGTTGCCGCTGTTGTTGTTGCTGTTGTTGCCGCTGTTGCTGTTGTTGCTTCGTTGCCGTTGCCGCTTTTGTTGCCGTTGCTGCTGTTGCTGCTGTTGTTGCTGCCGCTGCTGTTGCTGCTGCTGTTGCTGCTGTTGCTGCTGTTGCTGTTGCTGTTGCGCTGCTGTTGCTGCCGTTGTCGCTGTTGCCGCTGCCGCCGTTGCCGCTGCCGTTGCTGCCGTTGTTGTCGCCGCTGTTGCTGCCGTTGTTGTTGCTGTTGTTGTTGCCGTTGTTGTTGCTGTTGTTGTTGCTGTTGTTGTTGCTGTTGTTGTTGCTGCTGTTGCTGCTGCTTGCTGCTGCTGTTGTTGCTGCTGTTGTTGCTGCTGTTGTTGCTGCTGTTGTTGCTGCTGTTGTTGCCGTTGTTGTTGCTGTTGTTGTTGCTGTTGTTGTTGCTGTTGTTGTTGCTGCTGTTGTTGCTGTTGTTGTTGCTGTTGTTGTTGCTGTTGTTGCTGCTGTTGTTGTTGCTGCTGTTGCTGTTGTTGCTTGTTGCTGTTGTTGCTGTTGTTGTTGCTGTTGTTGCTGCTGTTGTTGCTTGTTGCTGTTGTTGCTGTTGCTGTTGTTGCTTGTTGCCGTTGTTGGTGCCTGTTGTAAGTTGCTCAAAAACTAATAACGGATTCAGATTTTCCATCCCAGAATGCCTTTGGTTACAAATTTGCAGCTAACATAGATAGCTGTCGTCCGAAAGAGCCAAAAAGCAGCCGCAAAAGACTTTATCGTGAATGTGTTAAGTTGAAACTACCATAATCACAAGGATTGATGAAAGAGGAAATTATTGCTCGTTAAAAGACCAACGACATATCAAAAACATTGAAACATATATTTTTGAATGAGTCTTATCGCTTGATTTCACTGCTAAAGTAACCCTAGATGATATCCAAAGATACCCAATGATACCAAATCAATGGCTGATGGGCTGGTCAAATAAAAACTGATGGATTACGGTAGTTTTCTAAAAAATAGATTTCTTAGAAAGTGAATTAATCGAAAGAAACATTCTATTTTCAAGTTAAAGGATTACAAGTGACTTTTTGCGTTTTTTAGTAATATTCATAGACACAAAAGTAGACTCTAAGTCAACTCCAAAGTCTAATTAGAGATTACCGTAAATACTATAATAGTACCCCCCCCCCCGCGTACAGCCGCGTAGTCGCAAAAGTTTTTTAGTACTTCATTTTTTTCAAAGCACCCGTACTTTCAAAAGATACGTTTTTGGTATCAAAAAATAGCCCTGAATTTCAGCTATTTTTTGATACCTAAGCGCGCATTGTAGCATAAACCAGTGTCGAGAGAAAAGCATTTAAAACTAGATTTAAAACATTTAAAACTAAGACTACGGAACACTCCGCATCAGGGTGGAACTACTATTACAGTATTTACGGTAAGTAACGCTCAATAAATGCTATTAATCAGAGCTGTGCCTAGGACCAATTTTTAAACCCAGACTTTTTAGGCTCAAAAGTTTTTAAGGTATTCGTTAAAGATTTAATCAAATGCCATTGAATTGATCTGCTTTTATGTAATCATCATTCAATTCAGGACATTTTTCTGTGGCGAATGGATATTTAAACATGGAAAGCGGATAGAAAATGACATTTCGTACCCCATCGTACAGGCGCGTAGTCGCAAAAGTTTTTTAGTATTTCTTTCTTTTTACAAAGCGCTCGTACTTTCAAAAAATGCGTCTTTGGTATCAAAAAATAGCCCTGAATTTCAGCTATTTTTTGGTACCTAAGCGCGCATTGTAGCATAAACCAGTGTCGAGAAAAACTCTTCAAGCTAGACTACGCAACAGTCCGCACTGTCATTATGGGGGTGGGGTACTATTACAGTATTTACGGTAGGTCTAATTAGAGGAAATTTTCTGTTATTATCTGTTCAATAGCATAAATTTTTTTTTGCTTTAGCTCATGATTACAGCAAAAAATCAGCTCGATTAGATGAAAACTTTGAAACAAACTTTTTTTCAACGCTTAACTTTTTGTTTGGCTTTGTGCAACGTCCATTGATCATGGATTTGCAAAAAAATTTAACAGAAATAGGCTTTTACCAGAGATTAAT